GGGTCTCGGCACCTCCCAACTCATCACCGCCTCAATTATGGCCGGATCGACCAATATCCCGCTCTGGTTAACGAGATGCCCCAGGAACTGGACCTCTCGTAACCAGAAATCGCACTTGGAGAATTTGGCGTAAAGCCTCTCCGATCTCAAATCTCCAAGGATCTCCCTCAAATGCTCTTCATGTTGCTCTCTAGATCTCGAATATACTAATATATCATCGATAAACACGATCACTGAACGATCCAGCATCAGCCTGCACACTCTGTTCATGAGGTCCATGAACGCCGCCAGTGCATTGGTGAGCCCGAAAGGCATCACTACGAACTCGTAATGCCCATAACGAGTTCTGAATGCTGTCTTCTGGATATCCTCATCGCACACCCTCATCTGATGATATCCAGATCTCAGATCAATCTTGGAGAACCAAGACGCTCCCTGTAACTGATCAAACAAATCGTCGATCCTCGGCAAGGGGTAACAGTTCTTGACCATCAACTTGTTCAACTCCCAATAATCAATACACATCTGGTGCAAACCATCGTTTTTGTTGATAAAAAGGATCGGCGCTCCCCATGGCGAGCTACTCGACCGAATAAATCCCTTCCCCAACAGCTCCTGAAGCTGCGAGGATAACTCCTACATCTCTGGCGGCGCAAGGCGATGGGGCGCCTTAGTGATAGGTGTTGCCCTTGGAACTAAATCGATACGGAACTCTACCTGCCTCTCGGGAGGCATACCCGGAAACTCCTCGGGGAAAACATCCGGGAACTCCCATAATATCGGGACCTCATCGACCGACCTCAACCTCTCTGCATCTACTCTTGTTTCCACCACATACACCATAAATCCACTACAATCCTGTTGTACGCTCTACCTCGCTCTAGCAGCCTAACAAAATGTTGACCCAGGACGGCTACCCTCGCCATACACCGTAAGAACTCCCCCACTAGGTTCTCGTATGGTCACCAGCTACCGCTGACAATCGATAACCACTCCAAATCTGCTCAACCAGTCCATGCCCATGATGACACATACATCCCCCATCGCAATCGGAACCAAATCAATCAGAAACTCAACTCCGAAGATCTCAAGTACACATCCCCAAATCACATCGGTGGCATACACCGCTCGCTCGTCAGCTATGGAAACTTGAAGAGGTCGACTCAACACCTCTCGATGAATATTGATGTGCTGACTAAAGGCTAATGACACAAAAGATCGGCTCGCACCCGAGTTAAATAACACCAAGGCAGGCACAGAACACACAAGGAAAGTACATACGCATAACATAATATAAACAAAATAGATCAAACATCATAGTAAATACAAGAAAGAATACATACAAGCCACAACATCGAGCGTTGTGCGGACCTCCTCCGCGGTCAACTGGAAGCCTCTCCTTTATGCCTTCGGTGCCTCAGCCTTCACCGGCCGACTCTCGGTAGCTCGAATAGCAGGAGCAGATCCCTATGATGCTCCCTGTGCTTATCCCCGCAGCTACGGACACTCGGCCTTCCGGTGTCCGGTCTGGTTGCAGTGAAAACAGACTGCAAATCCCTTGGGGCAATCCTTGGCCATATGCCCCTCCTTTCCACACTTGTAGCAAGACCCTTCTCTACACACTCCCTCATTACCCTTGTCGTACTTGCCACAAGTACGACCCTTCTGGTTCCCTAATCTCGAATCGGTGGGCTTGGCCCGCTTGGCTGCCGGCTGGGACTAAGCCGGTCACCGATCCCTCCCCTGAGATTCTACCTCGTCCCTAACCTGAGTCTCCAGCTCTATCTCCCTCTTCCGAGCATTTTCCTGAAGCTCGAAAAATGTTCAGTATGACGAGTTCGACATGAACTCTCGTATGTCTCTCCTCAAAATACTCAAATACCGACTCATATGTATCTGATTGGTAGACACGTGCTCAGATCAGAACATCGCCCTCAAAATACTCAGTACCCTGCTTGAGGGTCAGAAACTCCTATGCTAAACATTCCCTCTCCACCGGAGGAACGTACTCATCATGGAACATGGCGGTGAACCTCTCCCAGGTCACCGCGGCAAGCTCAGCAGACGAAAAGTGCGTCGTCACAAACTTCCACCAGTCCTTCGCTCCCAGGCGAAGCTGGTTCAACGCGAACCGGACCCTCAAATGCTCTGGACATGAACACGTATAGAAGCATCCCTCAATATCAGAAACCCATCTCATCGCAGCAATCGGATCCTGCGTCCCATCAAACTCTAGTTGCTTCGTGTTGCTGAACTCCCGGAACAGCAACGAATCACCACCCTAAGGTCTAGCTGCAGCGGCTGCAGCCTCAGTAACCGCTGTGTATCTCTCATCAAAAGTCTCAATCAGCATGGTCTTAATAGACCCGAACATCTCTGGAATCTCTGCGCGGATAGCCGCATCCACCTCCTCATGGATCATTTGGAGGAGCTCCTCATTACTCACCCTGCTGGTCTCTAGTCTGTGGTGTGTCCCAACCATGATGTCTCTGAAATACAACATAAAAATATCAGAAGCTCGCTCGAGCATACTCGCACTTGATAACTCGACCCTACTCGCTCCCTGGTACCCCAAGGATTCTTACTTGGGCTGCACACTACTCCGGTGTCTTCAGTAGTACGGGCCCAATACTACCGTCCACACAACATCAATATTCAACCTAAGTCCTCCTCCTAGTATCCCAAATCCCAAGTACTCTACTCTCACTATGCATAGTCTACTCTCTAGCAGATCTCTCACAAGCTCCTCGCTGCTATCTACTCACTCTCAAGCATCTCCTAGCAACAAAACCCCTAGGCTAAGGCATCACAAATCACGCCACTCTATTCCTAATAAGATTACCTAGCCTATTCTAGCATGCATAACATATTATCTCATATCACATAACACATAATATAAGGGTATGTTGGGAAATCACTGTTCAGGCGCTGGGTGATCGTACACACTGCTTTTCTATGCTCTTTTCAAAACCCTTTTTCTCTTTTAGAAAAATTTTGTTTTATTCCGAAAAATTCCTCAAATTCTCAGTTTGAGTTCAAATACGCTCTAAGGTGCATTTGAATCCCTCAAACCAAGGCTTTGATACCAACTTGTAACAAGGTAAATTTCAAAACAATTTTTCACTTTTAAAATTTATAATTTTAATTCATAAACATTCTCATATCCCAATGTATCACATATCAAATCCATAAAAATACATCCCAATATCAAAATGTATAAAAACTCCAAGAGTGTGTACTGATCATGCCGACGCCTTCCCGTGATCCTCACTGGTACCTGAAACACATAACACAAAACACTGTAGGCATAAATACTTAGTGAGTTCCCCAAGATACCACATTAACACATAATAGCCACTCGAGGCTAAAACTCTGTGAGCCCTCTGGCTCTAACTTTGTGGACCCTCTTGTCCTAACTCTTTCGACCTTTCGATCCTAACTTTGTAAACTCTGATATACACACAACATAAATCACATAGAAATAATGTTGTGCAACACATCGCACAAATAGCATGCAAGATACTCAATCACATAACTCTATTTACCACTTAAGGTAAAGTATAGTGAGAAGACTCACCTCGGATAACTCGGTAAACCTCGAACTCTGAAATTATGCACTAACCTCCACCTAGTCACATAATAATTACTCTAATTAATACAAATTCTTAAGGCTAGGATAACCCCTCTCTATAAGTTCTCTAAGAATGGTAAAAGGCCATTCTACCCCTCTAATGGCTCATAAGTCTAAACATTGACTAAACCCTAAAAGTCAACGAAGTCAACGGTAAAACTTTGACCAGACTCGTCGAGTGCACTCGAGCGACTCGGCGAGTCCACTCTAATCCTCTGAATCCTTCAAATCCTTACTTGGCACGACAAGTCCCCTCTTCACTCGTCGGGTTACTCAGTAACGAATCGCGGGGCAACCTCGATTCGACTCGTCGAGTCCACTCATGAACTCGGCAAGTTGCTCCCATGAAAACACCCATCTGACCTTCTGAGGTCAGATCTGTTTCCCTAATCTATAGATCTGACTTCCCCATAGCCAATGACCACATAGAGGTCGAATCTTGGTACACATGCAAGGCACTCTAGGCTTATTTTGGTGAAATCCCTTGTAACATGGCAACCTATGTCCCTTTCCTCCATAGAACCACAAAAAGCAAGGTGGTTCAAGCTCCTTGGACCTCAAAAGGTCTGAATCCAGAGTTTATTACTCAATGGGACACTAAATCTCAACCACACAAGCCATAAAAGATATAGAAAACCCTAAATTCAATGCTCTTAAGCAAAAATAGAGGAATAAGATCGAATAGCTACCTCAAAATGAAGATCCAAGCTGAAAACCTCCTGAAATGAAGTCCTCTTGCCCCCTTCTTGCTGGAAACCCTTCCTGTTTGGCTAAATCACACCAAAAACGAACAAAGAAGCTCAAACTCTCTCACAACTTGCTCAAAATCGCTAGGGTGCCTCTCTCTGGAATGGTAGCTGCAAATGGAGGCTATAAAGTCCTTTAAATAGGGCTCAGGCCCAGGGATTTAGGTTTCAATCATCAGCACGGACTCGGCGAGTCCACCCTTACCGACTCGTCGAGTCCACCCTTACCGACTCGTCGAGTCCCCTCATCGCGATCCTACTCAACGAGTATAGGCGTTAACTCGTTGAGTCCTCTCTCTTAACTCCAAAATTAAATGATACAATATAATACCTGGAAATCCGGAATGCTAAGGTAAATATAATAAAGTTATGTTGTTTAACCGGATTAATTAAGAAATATTGTGCTTAAAAAGACAAAATAAAACTGGTTGTCCATAATTCAAATGTAGAAACTTTTGTGCTCTTTTTGTGAAGTCTAAAAAAGAATAAAATCGAAATCCTATGGACAAAACAAAGCCGCGCGCACCAGAAGATAGAACAGTGTCGTCTCTGTTGCCCTAGCGATTCGGGTACCTCGCGAGTTCTCGCTACTTCGATTATCACCATTTTTCTTGAATTTGTTCATGGTAATTCTTTATTTTATGATAATTCACCATTTATGTACTTCAGTTATTGTGTTCGTTGGATATATAGGTTTTGAATAATTATGATTTTGATCCCAATTACGAATCCAGATGGTTCTTCGAACAAGAAAGTGCGAAGTTTATTTCTTTTAGAGATATCTGAAACAATTAGCTGCTAATATCGTGATGCAAATGTGTTTTTATGAGCTCAATTTATCTGCATACCAAATGAATCTTGTAAATCATATATTTTGATTTCAGTGGTATCCCAACTACGATTCCACCATTGAAGCTTCAATTCAACTCTAAAGCTACTTTGAACACATTTGTTTTTACACTAAATACCGTGTTCTTTTTAACTGATTTACCTCATATATTTTCCAAATATACCCATTGATCTTATCGACCCAGTGAACAAAGCAATAACACATGAAGGCAAAAGCGTCAATTGATAAGGGATTTTAAATGCAGTTAATAAGAAGCTACTTTCATTGATTTGTTTATTATAATTTATAACATCATACTTACATTTCTTTCTATTATAAGTTTATCACCCATTCATACATACCTACCTACACTTAACGCATGAGTAAATACTAATGATGAGATTAGTTATTTGAAATCTTTAATTAGTGGTAGTTGCAGGTATTAATGATTATAAAGGGGTTGTTTAGAAGGTATGAGAGATGGAATCCTGTGCATCCTACTTCGGGAGCTTTTTGGGGCATGGGAATAGGTGTTGGGTGTGGAATTGGATGGGGCCCGGGGTTTGGCCCTGATGTCATTGGATACGTTGGTGCCGGTTGTGGAGTCGGATTTAGTGTCGGAATCACTCTTGCCGGAGTCGGAATCGGTCTTCCCGCTAACTGCCTCCTCAAAGTTCCTTTTAGTGGTATGCTTTCTCATCTTTTCCCAAATCCAAATACTTCCTTTTATATTTGTCACTTGATGGGCCACACTGTATACCTGATATACATCTCACATAATGCTGTTAGAGCATAACCCTCATGGGCATGTGTCTAACATGATGTTGTTAGAGCATAACTCTGGTGGGCCATTGTGCACCTGACACACATGATGTTGTTAGAGCATAACCCTCGTCGGCATGTGTCTAACGTGATGTTGTTAGAGTATAACTTTGGTGAGCCACTGTGTACTTGATATACATCTCACAAGATGTTGTTAGAGCATAACCCTTATGGGCATGTTGTCTGACATGATGTTGTTAGAGCATAACTCTGGTAGGTCACTGTATACCTGATATACATCTGACATGATGATGCTGTTAAGTTAGCTCAGAGATTTAAATAATGACCCTTAATAAATTGGCATGCTTGTTTACAGCTTTTATGGCGACAAGAAGCGGTGCAATGGACTTTGCTCGATCTAATGGTCTTCTTGGGACAAGCAGTGCTAACGATGATATATCCGGCATGGAAAGGTGGGTGTCTACCTTCAACCATGAACAATCGGTAGACAAAAGGGTAAAATTTTTGGGTATGAATAGATTTATGTCTTCTCAAGCTAAGTTAGTTTTAGGTTATTTTGATGAACTCAAAACTCGCATTATTGACAATAAGAAAAATGCATAGATTTGTTCGAGCTAAAAGAGTTTTATGTTGCAAAAGCTAAGAGTTTTTTAGTGTATGATATTTTTCTTGAAACATAAGATTAATTTGCAGACTAATCACAACTTTTTCTTTGGAGAATATAAGTTCTTGTTTGTTATTTTTGGAAAACAAGTGTTGTCTTTTACAAGCTTCTATATGTAATTCTAAAACAAGATTAGTTTGAAATCTTTTACCTTATAATTAGCTTGTCAGCAATTGCGCTAAATGCAACAAGAAATCGATTTAAATCCGTCTAAAGTCGAAAAGAACATTATCCTAGAACCATTTTTTATTGAAATATGACAAAAAAAAAAATTCTAAAAAAATTTAATTATTCCTAACAAATAACATTAACTTTTTATATAACTTATAGCCAAATGATACAAATGACATGATGTTATTTTATTTTATTTTTCAAGTTTAGTACTATGCTACTTTTGTTTTAATTTGAACATTGAAATTTCCAATTTTATTTCATGTTAATTTTTTTTCTTTGCTCAATGACACAAAAGACACTTCATATATATTTTTAAAAGAATATGTTGCGTTTGTCAGTTTTTGTTCTAAAGATCGCAAACCAGATACCTTGGGTTCCAGGTGATATAATTAAAAAAAAAAATGAACAAATTTAAAAATTGACTCTAATCTAAAACAAAATATAATACAATATCAAAATCATTCACTCTAAAATTTCTTTTGTCGATTTTGTGGAGTAAAAAAAACTAATAATGTTTACTTGGATTTATACATAACCAAAAAAAAAAAAAAAAAAAGTCTGACAACATTTATAACCAGAAACAGTTTAGTTGGGAGTTGGGACGCAGTTTGTACATCATTTATAAAAACTCACTTCACCCAAGTAAATATACAATTTAAAATAGACCAACATTTATTCCAAAAAAAAAAAAAGTTCTTAAAAAACACATGTTGAACAACATTCCAAAGTAATTCAAAGATCAAATACACACATCAAACACAAACTTCATCTTTTACCACATCCCCACTTCCTTATCACCTCCATTCTTACCCATCTACACAAAACCAAAAACAAAACTATCAGTATATCAATATCAGTAAGAGTCAGTATCAGTATCAGTAACAATATTGTTTACACACCATTAGAGGTACAATCACTTCGTGCGGTGTAATCATTAGTAGTGGACATGGACAACTGAGTGGTGGACCATGGTTCCCTAGCTTCGGGCCACTCATCGAAAAACGGGCGCATTGATTGTTGCTCATTTTTCACTTCAATTGGGGACCCGATTTTGCTTCCAAATAAACAATGTTGTTGTTGTTGTTGTTGACTTGGCTTTGACATTGTTAAAGGGTCAACCAAAGAGTCAAAATTAACCATGGATTTGGTTTGTAAGTAAGATTCGGTTCTTGATTCCATTAAAGAAGTTGTCGGAATTTGGTTTGGGAGTAGACGCCATGTATTGGAAGTGTAATTTTGATCATCCACATCAACCGTTAGTGATTGATCATACCTGAGGGGCAAAATAGTCATTTAACACCACCTAACAAAATAATTATAAAAAAAAAAAAAAAAAAAAAAAAAAAAAAAAAAAAGAAAGGTACCTATAACTGTTGTTGTTGATCCCATATGCACTACCCTGAACCTGTAACTTTGACACATTGCTTCCAAAATCAAAACTACAAGAACTAGAAGTAGGATACAAGGATGAATTCTGGAAGCTTCCATTTCCAAGATTCTGGTAGCTTCTATTACCACCATTGCTTACAGTACTAACATTTGAAACTGCAGTTGTTGACAATGGCTGAGATGCAGATTGAGATTGAGATAGAGATTGAGATTGAGATTGAGATTCCACAGGCTTTCTTGAACGGTTTCTACCACGATGCATATGGCGTTCACAGTATTTGGAGTCTGGATACGCGTCTTTTGAGCATCTCCATTTCTTCCCATCGGTCCTCCTACATCTCCCTGGCTCTGGATCAAACTTCTTCCCGTAGTATGAACAGTAGCTCAATGCTTCAAAAAGTATAAGATTAGTCAGAAATTACACAACAAGAAACTGAAATCAGATTCTGGATGATTGTATTGCGTATATATTGGAGATTTGAAGTATGGTTGGTGTTGTAGAATCAAATCGAACATATACATAAGAAAGTTATGAGAAGATTTTGAAACTTCAACCTAATAGAAGATCAGGAAAAAGAGAAATGAAAGGATAAATCTAAATCCGACTTCGTTAAACTGCAATACAGAAATAGATCTTATGTTCTACAGGGGTTAATTAGCGAAAGTATTGAATGGAACAACTTGAATTTTGTAGCAAATCATAATCGATTTCCCCAATCTGAAAAGCAAAAGCTTTGAAATCGAAAGTCAAAGTCTACGATATCTATCGAAACGAAGTCTAGAGTAAAAACTGAGAACGTAAACACGATTCGGAGATTTGTGAACTTACAAGTAGGATTAGTGAAGAACCTAGCAGATAAAGCTTCGAGGCTTCTTCTAATTGGAACAACGAGATCATAAGGTACAGGTACTCCTGCGACTAAGTATTTGTATATCAGAGCTTGATGTTCCAGCTCCTGCCACTGCACCGGCGTGAACGGCGGACGGTATCCAGATATTCCACCGCCACCGCCGCCCGCTACCGCGACTGTCGTGCTGCCACTCATCTCCTTTACTGTGTTGTCGTTTTTCAAGGAAAATTAACTGCAACAAAACTGCAGATATGTTTATATAAATGTTGCAGGGGAACATATACGTGTATGGATGGGGAGAGAGAGAGAGAGGGGGTTACCTTTGAAGGGGCAGATCTAGGGTTTGGCCATGCGTGGTAAGAAAGGAATTAGGATGTGGGGATGAAATGGTTGGCATAAGCATTCATTTACATATTCCTTTTATTTTCTTACTTTCTTTCAAGATAAACATTACTTTCTTTGAAGATGAACATTTGAGTATATATATATATATATATATATATATATATATATATATATATATATATATATATATATATATATATATATATATATATATATATTTGTGTGTGTGTTTGTTTCATAATTGTGTTAAATTGAAAATTGAGTTGAAAAGTTTTTATTCTTGTTTTCCCTTTTTAAATATTTTGTAACAAAATAAATTTGAGTTTGTATTGCTTGTTTAGGATCTCTAATGGTAAACCTATATCATAGGCTAAAAATATTATCATTTCACTATTTTATTTTTATTGACCTCTAATTAAATTGTTTCTCGTATGGTTAAACTTTTTTATGATACTTTTTTTAATTGAACTATTTTATCCTTATCTATCTAAAATATTATATAATACCTCCGCGTTTAACTAATCGTTTTTTAAACACATCGTATTTTAATATAAACATTTATTCATGTACAAACGATGTACATATTAATATAACTTATATTTATATATTGTATATTTGTTTATTTATAAATTTTAGATAAATAATAAATAAATCAAAATAAATCAAAGGTAGAAAATAAAATAGCTCTAAAGAGAAATTGGTTGATTATTTAAACCTTTAAACTAAATTGACTATTAAATATATATATATATATATATATATATATATATATATATATATATATATATATATATATATATATATATATATATATATATATATATATATAGTGGTCAATAAAAATAAACAAATAAATCATACACTCCAATGGTGTTTAATTATTTTGACCACTTAAGAAAATAGTAATAAGTTATAAAAAAACACACCATTAGAGATGCTCTTAGAAATAGTTATTTCGACTTAATTCATTTAAATAGAGCTTATAAAAATGATATGACACACTAAGCCAATATAAAATAAATAGATTTTGATAAAGAAGTCACTTTACTAACTTCATCATCAAATCATTTCATAAGGATGTGAAAATGGTATTCATTAGTGAAGAAGCGATAGTTAAAAAAAAAAAGATATAGAGGTGTATTCCATTAAGATATGTGACCACACCCACTCCACAACACATTTGTTACAACACATTTGTTATAACGTTTTATAACGTGGGGTAGTGTTCATCGGTGGAAACCCCTTCTACACTAACTTCGACGATTGAAAGATGCTCTCTCTCTCTCTCTCTCTCTCTCTCTCTCTCTCTCTATATATATATATATATATATATATATATATATATATATATATATATATATATATATATATATATATATATATATATATATATATATATATATATATATATATATATCGGATAGCCTAAGTAATGAGTTGACACACGACATTAATATTAAATGGGTAAAGTTAAAGATGAACTCTTTCAACCCGAACAAAATAAATTATAGTCGGTGGTATTTGGTGTTGACATGGTGTCACACATGTAAGTAGTTAAGAGTTCAAGTTTTATATGTGACAACGGTGTAATTTATGAGTAGAACTAAAGTGAGGTGTGTGAGTGTCATCGCTCTAAAAAATACTTTTTTCAACTCGACACCACATAACACGTTTACAAGATCTAAATCGTAAATCCGTTAACCTAACACAAACTTGATCAACACAAAATTAATAGATGTGTACAACAAATTTCAACCATTTTAAGTAACTAGTTGACACATACGGCATGGATATTAATGGATAAGTTAGTGTCAATCGTTTTTAACATATTTAATGTTTAAACCTGACATTAACACAACATGTTATCAAAATTATTTTAAGACTTTTAGAAACTAGTTATAAAGTTTGAAGCTAGTAAAATAAAATATGACACATCCTTTAGCAACTCTTCAAAGTGTATTAATTAGAATTACAACATATCATTTAATTCAGCAAAGGATAGAAAAGAAATAACAAATCATTTTATGTGGTGGTCGGGAGTTTGGAAGTCATTGCTTGGTATGGTTGATTTGTTGTTTGATGCATAACTTCGAATCATATGAGTTTTGTTATGAATGGGGAGAATTTTAGGTACGAAATACTTGTTGTGACAATTCTACGCTTAAGTGTTGATATCCAAAGTGTGGTTTTTACTTTTTGATAGTCGAAGTAATTTGTAGAGCATATTATGCTCCTTCGGATGTATGTTTTGTATCTAAATAATTATTGTAATATCTAAGGTTAAACGAAATAAACAAACAAAAAAAATAAGGTAAATAAGGTTAATACGAGGATATTATCAGGCCAAA